CTCCATAATCAGCATTATCTTCAGAACCATCATCTTTTATTATTTCAGAATTGGAATGTTTATATCTATCAACGATATCTTCAATGTCTTCTTCCCATTCTGGTTTATCAATATCCACCTTAATAATAACAATAGGAACATTATTGAAGTTTTGTATTTAAAGCAAAAATTAAAAAATATTAAAAATACCTCTAAATCATAGTAACTATCATCAAAGACATTTTTCATTTTTTCATCGTATTTTTCAGGATCAAATTCTTCTTCCAAATCTACTTCATCAAACCCAACAGCTAAAATTAATTAAAATTAATGAAATTAGTTAAATTTTAAGCTACAATAAGAATTAATGAACATTCATATGTACATTCGTTTCCTGTTATTTCCTTTATTTTCTGTAATTTATCAAAAATTTCTTTTTTTTTGAGATTTTTAAGCCTTTTAAGTTCCTCCATTTTGCGTTTCTTTTCATCACTTTTACGCTCAGAGCGCATTTGACGTTGAATTTTACGGTTATTATCAGATCTATATAAGATTAAAATAGGTTTAATATAATTAACTTAAATGGACTTTATTAATTATTACTGAGGAATTATACCTTCGTACAGAACCATCCACATTCCGTGAATACGTGGCAACCTTTGTTCCACCTCTAAATTTAAATAAATTGGTTTACTAAAAAATTTTATCTGAAATAATTATAGGTAGATATAAAACTTTATCAATAATAACTTACTCTTCTTCAAATCGGAAATTATGCTGGCTTTCGAAATTATCAGCAGCTTCATCAAATTCATCATCCTCTTTGTCGTGATGTTCCGAAATTAGTTCTTCATATGTCGGAATCCGAGTGGCATTCTTATCGATCCAACCGCGGTTAAGTATGTAACTGGAAGATAACAATATTTTTTACTTGGAATTTTAAAAGTAAATATTTTACATGAAGAAAAAAATTCATACTCTATTAAAAAGGCTTCATCTTTATTAACTGCAGGATCATTGTTGTAATCTTGCCATTGTCTAATAAATTCTGAATCTTTATTATTCCCCTAAACATATATAGAGATATTGGGATAATGTATCATATAGATATAATTTATTTAAGTAAATAAATTAATGAAAAACTCACAGTCATACTTTCTAACAAGAATGCTTGATAATCTTCTTCCTCAGCTTTTAATTCTTCAGCGGTTTGGGATCGTTGAACCAAAAAATCATCGTCATCATTAATATTAAATTTCGAAGCCGCTTCTTTAAATTCTTCCTTAAGCTTTTGTTCTTCATCCATGGGCGTCAAGTCAATAACTATTTCTGGTTCATTATCTTCAATTATACCACCAGATTCCAATAAAATTTTACGGCTATAGTCCTTTAAATGCACAGGTTTTTCTAACTATATGCAATAAGATAAAGGATTAAATCTACTAACCTAATCAATTTACTTTAGACTGCAAGTTAACTTACTTTTTTCTTTTTTCGCTTATCTAACCAATTTTGACGTGCTTTTTGTATTTCTTCATCTGTAATTATTTATCATTTTAAAAAGAAAAAAATAATAATTACATGAAGACATTAGAGAAGTTAAATCGTTATTACCTGCGAAAAAATTAGAATTTAAGTCATAAACTTTAGGATCTTTTGTTCTTATGGCCGAAATAGTTTTCATAATTTGCGAGTCAATTTCGGGAGTTATTAATTCTCCATATTCATCTTCGTCTTCAGAAGACGAATCATCCTCATCTTCGCTTAAGTCCGAATCGCCATATTTTTCTTTAACTATTTATTTTATAAGTGAATTTCGAAGGATCGTTAACATGGATAAACAATTTGATCATAATATAAAATATGATATATTGAATGAATCTACTTACGTTTTGAGAGTTCTTCTCCTCTTTTTCTTTCTTCATATTTTTTCGCAAATTCTTTGTTAATAGTCAATGTTGGTAGTGGTTCGTTCTCAAAATCCATTGCAATACTTTATCGTTATAGATTATCATTATCGGTATGACA